ACATGGGATATAGGTACCATGACCCCTTAATTCCAACCCCAAGTTGTGGAACCTCGGTTATCTGGTTTGGTGCTGGCCTATACTGACGAGTACTCATATTCTACTCTACCTTTGCTATAAGAACTGAGTTCCAGATGTAGAGCATACCTGTTCTGGATGTTATGCAGCTCCCCCACTTATGTACCATCTTTATCTTGGTACATTCCTGTTCTATACAGACATTTTCTGTATGGTTCATGAATCACTCTATGGCTACAGGTTGGGATCCAATCAATAGTATATATATATATATATATAATATTGCGGTCCTATGGTCCTAGTCATCAATGTGGGATATTGGTATCATGACCCCTTAATTCCAAAGAAATCATAATTTTAGTGTAAATGATGTTATCATTACCTCTCAAAGTTAGCTTTCTTACAGTAAATTTGTTGTTTTTTAAAAAGGTTAAGTACAGGGTGAGACATGAATTATCAGCCAATAATAGATAAACAATAAATATTACAGTTGGAACCTCATTCTATTTAGAACTTGGTTATTAGGCAGGCGGTAGCACTGCCTATGTAGGAATGGCTCAGATTGTAAATACAACCTTCCTGTGTCTATTGAAACATTAAAAATAACAAGCAAACAAAAATTTTTCAAGAAAGGAAGTAAATGTAGGATGGATAGTATGAATCATTCATAAACAGTGCAAACAGGATAGTAGGGAGGGCATTTGCATCATCCCTACATAATAGTATGTACACAGTGTAGTAGAATGTTAACAGACAAAAGTAGAATAAATTAAACTCGATTGTGATTGAATAGTTATACATATATATATATTGCTGTATTTTGATTCCTGCCACTTGAGTAACAAAATAGCTATAGGCACAACATTTAAGTCCCCAAAATTATCATAAACAAACTTATGAATATGTAAGATAATACTAAATTATCTAGAAAAGTATTGTTGCAATAGGTAACTAATAGTGAATATATCTTTCTTCTTTGTTAAATGAATCCACAAGGTTTAGACAGTTTTGGAATTTGAGGTGTTCAGTATCCCATATACCACTGCACATATGCATGGTTTGGCATTAGGCACAGAAGGTGACTCATTACTGTTTGTATGTTAACTTAATATGGAATAATGTTAATTGATACAATATGTAGTTGGTATGGTTGAAAATGTAGATTTTGAGAAAGCATTTGTTAAAAACCCACATGTTTTGAAAGGCGAGCGTGACCACAGAATTATTTCAATGTGTTTTTCTGAACTTCCATCTGTCACCAACAACTCCTTGCCTAAAAGCTTATGGTGTTTTTATCTCTTAAAGCTTTTCATTGTTAATTATTTTGAAGTTTTTCATATCATATGTGATGGATTTGAAAAACAAGATCCCATAACATCTGTAATGTAAGCCTTTTTTTATTTTAGTTTTTTAAATTTTTTTACAGTACTTTGATTTCCACCTTATGCATAAAAGACATCTAGTAACACTATCAACATAAGTTTTCTTTAATTTCTTGCCAAATAGTAAATGCTCTACTATCTGTTTTTTAGGATAAGAATGAATTTGTTTTCATTGAGTTATATATTATCACACTGTAAGCAACACTTACAATAATCTTTTATAGTTTTATCATGTGAAACTAAGGACAATTATGTTTTAACAAAGAATTAGTTTATCTAATAAATAGTTTATTAAATTCAGATATCCCAGTGCTTTGTAACAATGCTATACTCATTTCTTTAACAACAATGATATTTAAATGAAGAATTAGTCTACTGAGTAATAAATATCCCAGTTTTACATAAAATCCTATACTCTTTTTCTCAATTCTAGTTGGTCTTGCAGCACCCCCTTACTATACTAGCAAATATTGGCTAAAAGTTAGTAGCCTAAAAATATTCTCAAACCTCAATCCAATCCACAGGCTATTTGCTCATAAATCATGTGTTAACATGGTTGTAAAGTGATAGTTTGTACAGAAAACAATCATTAGCAATAGTGGAGCAAAGGAGTGAACAAAATATTGATCATTTTGCAAAGTTGAATCTCTTGCAAAATAAAAATATATATCTGTTGTATGGGAACACTTCAGCTATCAGGATGGTGTTCAGGGAGCTTAGGTCCTCACCAGTTTTCTGAAAACTGAAATTAATAACTATTAGTTAGTGTCGTATCAGCATTCAATGATATAGAAGAATGGTCTGGACCCTCCTACACATTTAACAATACTGCAGTGACCTATAGTATTTAACACCATTAACTTGTGGAAAGTCATTAGCCTACCCATACAAACAAAACTCCAGTTTAATTATGACTAGCTGTACTACATGTATGCTACAGGAAGCACTGAAAAGTGAAAAACATCTGGTTGTTACCATGTGCAGCTTAGACACTGGAGATTTATTAAGGTTTAATATAAAGGTATCTTGTTGATATCTGGTTCTTTCTTTAAAAGTATGATATTTTTAATTTTAGATAGATGTACTATGGTTTTATTGAATTGTTTGTAAACTTTTTTTTTATAACAAATAAGGTGAGTTAAGTTTACTCTTTGGTTATATGATGAGTATGGTAAGTGAATGCAAAATATCCTGATGACTGAAATATTTATTGAATATTTTTATGTTTATGTTATTCAAGCAACATATAATTGTGAAGTTTTTCAAATAAAAACAATATTAACCTTATTTGTGAATGGTGATAGTAAAAGTTAAATGTCTCCATCATTTTATTTATAGTAACTTAGTGTGAGATAACTACATATTTTAAAAAGAAAATATATTGGTGATATTTGTGTGATGTATTATGTTTATGTGAAAAAATAATTCTGCAGAAATAAAATATCTAAATAAGTTGCTCTTACAGATGTCCCAGTAGACACTTCCCTTTTGCCATTTTATTGTCATATACTAAGACGGGATAACTACTGTTTGGATAATTGCACCACAACCCTACCATGTAAGCTTTTAACCCCTACTGTCCAGTCAAGAAATGACTTCTCTTGGCTAAAAAAAATGACATTTTATAAAGCTAACTTAAGTATTACTTTGATAAATGTGATTTTTAATCTTTCTTGTACACATAAGAGAGGTTTTCACTGGGTTTCTTAATAGCAATTACAAATATGCATTAGCATGTAGAAAGAGCATTTATATCATACTGTGGTATTCAGGACTACTGATAACTAACAAACAATCAAATGTATCTGCTAAATGAAGATTCTTAAAATATTAAGCAGAGTATTAATTGAACATGGACAGCAGAGGAAAGAAATAAAAACACAAGTGAATAAGTAAATCAAATCTTTATTCACAATTACTGTGTTGTCAAGTTGTCACTTTACTGACTGGTTTCTAATTCTATTGTGTCTTTAACTGGCTGCTGGGGTAAAGGATTCTTTCCACACACACACACATAGTAACACACATCCACATTGGCAAAATAAATTATTTATGGCTGAAATTCAAACCAAACATTAAAAAGTATGGTATACTAGAACTCAACAATGCATATATCACTAACTATTCCAAATAATAGGGGAAAAAACCTTGAATTCATATCAATTTGTACAAGTATCTGAACCATCTTTTGAGACAGGCTTATCTCTCTCTCTAGAAGGTTCAGGCATAGGGAGAAAGTGGTACTAATTTCTAGCTGTTTGCATAATATGTAGACTTTACCTGAGCTAAAGGATTAGTTCATGTGTAGTACCTTTCAAATTTGGTTAGCAATAATATCATACTACTTGCAGAACACCTGATGTAAAATTTGTAACTCAATATGTCTGAATAAAGATATATTATAAACTAGTTAGGGAAAGGGAAAATTCATGAATATTTCAGTCATTACAATTCTGATTAAGAAGCTAGAGCACAGGATCATACAAAAAAGTTGTGATGGTTTTCAAATGAGACCCAAGACTAGCACTTTTTAATAGTTCACTATTCTTCTTCAAGAACTATTTGAAAGTGCTGAGAGTTTTGGGTCTTGTTTGAAAACTTGATCATTACAATATTAGGATTATGTTGCTTTTGCTAATGTATTTTAGTATTCCCTTGATGCATTCATATTAAAGTTTTTTCAGCACACACACATTTGTTTAAACTTGTTATGATTGTATTTTAGTGTTCTTCTAATGAAAAGGTATTACAGGGAGTGGAAGAGCTTAGAAAAAGATTGAACAAAGCAGTTCAGAAGAGAGTAGACAGGTAAATAAATTCTCACAAACTAGCTTATGACTTAATGTTGGATTTCTCAGCATCTAAGTACTAAGATTCTAAAACAAAAACATTAAAGTATGTTTTCAAAAATACACTGAAATATTATAGCCCTTATTAAAGTTTAAGTTTATTGAAAAATCTTTCTCAAAAAGAAATATATAAACATACATACATGTTATTTTGATCTTAAGAATACACTGTATTAGCCTTTATGCAGTAATAAAGATAAGAAAATATATTGAATTTTGAACATCGTTTAAGCATTTCAGAGAATATCTTTTTTTTCTGTAGAATTCCTATTTTAAAAAGAGGATTAGAAGTTCCCAATTACTTCTCATCATCTGACGAGCGTATTTTTGAGTATGATTTTGATAAACTGGTGTTCCAAGCTGACTCTCCTTTCCAGAATGTGAAGATTCTGCATTCTCCAACATTTGGAAATACCTTATTTCTAGATGATTTGCAAAGTAAATAATCTATCAAATGTTTGGAAATGTCTTATTTGATGTTAATTTGCAAACCAATTATTCTATATCATGTTTAACCCTCTCATTATGGATAGGTCAAAGGGTGCATTTCAAGATGTTTTAGTTATTTTTTAAATTTAATTAAACAACTATATTATACATGCCAATAGAATTGACATCAAAACAGTTTATAATTCAAATTTTAATATTATGTATGTTTTAATTTTTCATTCAAAAGAAAATATTAAAAACAAAATATCTGTTTTTGTGTAACACATTGCATGTCATCTTGTCTTATTGGTCAATTTATAATCATATTATGCTTACCATACAATGTCTATAGTGGTTAACGAATTAGAAACTCAAATCTCAGACATTAACAAGGTAGAATATAAAGTAAAAAATCTCCCAATGTTTTGGTTTACCTGTATATTTAACGGACTACCAGAGTAGTCCCTCCCACTACCCTTTTTGCGAAACCTCTTGTCTACTCATGCCTACTTCTCTTAAGTACATGTTTATAACAAATAGAAAGAGCACTTTTCAAACTATATACATCTGACAGTCCTTTGTAATTGGCTTGAAGGGGAAAGCCGAAGTTTTACAGGAAACGTTGAAGTCTTTTGACTAAGTTGTTTTAACTGACACATTGCTTTGTTAGAAAGCTAGCTAAATTGCAATGGTTTTATGTGTACCAGTGTAGTAATTTGATAGTTTTTTGGTTTTCTAAAATGAATCTTTGAAATCTTCCCCGTCTACTTAAGAGAATAAATTAGGCTTATGGTAAGGCTTAGCAAGTAGGATGGGCTAGTGCAAATCAATTTCTTAACATTGTAAGAACTAGAAA